CGGGTGCCGCAAGACGGGGTGAGCTCCTGTCTCTAGTTCCAGCTCCTGCCAACCTAGCAGTTTGAAAGCAAGAAATTGCAAGTAGATAAGTAGGTACCACTTCAGTGGGAAGGGAATAGCGTTCCGTGCGCCTTGGTGTTTAGTCATGCCGGCCACATGACCACGGAAACGTCTTCGGACAGCACTGGCTCTTCGGCTTTGAAACGGAGATGAGCACCGCAACCCTAGAGTCGGACTCGACTGGCTTTCGAGCAAGGGAACCTTTACCTATGCCCTTATGTAAGCAGCCCTGAGCCCGCATTGCGGGGAGGGCGGGGTATAAACTGGATAAAATAAATAATAAATAATAATTATCTGCTACCTCCAGGGGCAGTCATTCCACTGTGGGGCCTGTCATTCCGCCCTCAGAACACATCTGCTACCCCTAGGGGCCATACCTCACCCCCAAACGGAGACAGAGGGAGAAAGCGCTCACCTACTTAGCTCTGTGCCAGGTTTGGTCAGGTGCCTCGTTTCCACACAGGGCTTGGGCTGGGAGATGCTCCATGGGATTTTGCTTGGCAGGATCAAGTACATCCTTCCTCAGGCAGGAGGACAGAGTAGCTCCAATGTCATCAGCCCACCGGGACTATTCGTGGTGGATTTAATGGCCAGCCCCCCCCCCCGAGTTGACCAGATGTAACTAGGGATCCTGTGAATTTCAAGTCAAACTTACCCTGTTTCACTGTGCCTCTTGGACATTAGGCCATCACCAGGACTGTCTGGTTTGGCACTGACCCACTGGAACGCCCGCAGAACAGGTTCATTTTAGTAGTCCTTAGTAACACAAATGGCTGCTGGGCTTGTTTCCGTTGGCAGCATATTTTTTTTGCACTGGCGTAGGTATTTTCGAAACAGGGCAAGTGTGAAAAACGCTGCCAGTCCAAAGAGCTCGGCAGCCATTATTGCTACCAAGGACTGCTAAAATGAATGGTCAACAGTATATTTTATGCTGATTTTACTGTCTCCCTTTTATTCCTAATCCTCCTTTGTGCATCAAGTCAGGCAGGCTATAAATGAAATTGTTGTGTCCGCTGACCGCCACCAGAGGCCAGCGCACACTCCTGAGCTTGAGTCTGGCTTAACAATAGGGACTAGGATCCTAGTCCCTCCACTGGGGGAACCAATGGGACCGTGACGGGAGATTCAAACCCGCCAATGGGACCCAGGGGTGTGTCCCCTGGTTGTGTATATAGTTGGCCTGCCGGCTGTTGTTGGTTGTCTTTGTTGTGTACTAATAAAGCGTGCTATGCACTATGCCAGTCTCTATCGTCCATCCATGCGGCAACCCACTACACAATAGAAATAAAAGCTAACAATGATGGCAGTGATCTGAGAGCACCTGGAGTTGCACATTTCCCCTTCCCGCTGCACTGAGCGTATCCTATCATGGGCATCACCTGAGCTGTGAATCACCTTGCACTCAATGAAAGGAAATGGGTAGCTCAATGCATCGATCAAAATAAGCAGGGTGCTTCAGATTTCAGCGGGCCCAGCGCAGAAGCCTCAAGGAAAAAGGCAGGCGCTAGAATGGGCTAGAAGGGCCAATGTTCTCGATGCCTCTTGCTTTTAACAAAGGGGGGGGGGGAGGCTGCAAGACAAAGCTATCCCTAGGAGGAGGAAGTGCTTTGAGCTCTGTCTTGCAGCGGGGTCTTCTCTCTTTCTCGAATTTTGTCCCCCTCGCTCTTTACCCCCTCCCAAGGGAGATGGAATCCTTTAGCCATTAGACCCTACTGCGGTACAGCAGCCAAAGGCAGTTCATCACATCTGGGGAGTGGGGATGCGGAGTAAGGAAACCCTCCTATGGGAGTCAAGCCTCACCTCACTCTAACTGGCCATGTAGTTGCGTGGGATGAAGACGGGCTGTGCCCGGGCGAGGTGCATGCAGGCAGTCCCAAGGCGTGACACCCACCCCCTTCTCCCAGCTGCCAGAGAGCACAGGGCCACCCTTGCCCCACCACACCCGGGGGTGGTGGCTTTTGACTCCAAGAGGCAAATAACGCCCTTTGCAAAGCGAGAGGTCATTCCGGCTTCATCAGCTCTTGTAAGGCGCCCTTTAAAAAGTTATGGCCGCCTATGGCGGTGGCAATGGCGGTGTGTGTGTGTGAAACGTTCCCCCGCTTTCGACTCCAAGTGGCAAACAACGCCTCTTGCGTCTGATCAGACTGCTCTTGTAAGGCGCCCTTTAAAAAGTTATGGCTGCCTATGGCGGCAGCAACAGCAACGGCCACGGGTGTGTGTGTGTGTGTGTGTGTGAAAGGTTCCCCCGCCTCCCTGAGCCCCGGGGTGGTGGCTTTCGACTACAAGTGGCAAACAACGCCCTTTGAGTTTGACGCAAGAGGTCATTCCGTGAGAGGTCATTCCGGCTCCATCAGCTCTTGTAAGGCGCCCTTTAAAAAGTTATGGCCGCCTATGGTGGCGGTGCCGGCAACAGCTGCGGCTGAGGGGTGTGTGTGAAAGGTTCCCCGCCTCCCTGAGCCCTGGGGTGGTGGCTTTCGACTCCAAGTGGCAAACAACGCCTCTCGCGTCGGATGTACATCAGACACAAGAGGTCATTCCGGCTCCATCAGCTCTTGTAAGGTGCCCTTTAAAAAGTTATGGCCGCCTATGGCGGCGGCAATGGCGTGTGTGTGTGAAAAGTTCCCCCGCCTCCCTGAGCCCCCTTCGACTCTGATGTCCCAGCGGCCTGTCCTTCTTTTTAATACATCCCGAGGTTGAAACCCGCATTTCCCTCGTGAGAGTTCCCTCAACACTTTTTCAAAATAATAATAATAATAATAATAATAATTGTTATTATTATTCCAGGGCTATTTTTGGGCAGAAAAGCACAGGAACGGAGTTCAGAATTTATTAGCATAACAGGCCACGCCCAACAGCAGAAACTCATTAGGATTGGCTACATTAGGGGTGTGTGGCCTAACATGCAAAGGAGTTCCTGCTACAAAAAAAAGGCCCTGGGTTTGGACAACAAACCAGGTCAACAGAATAAGAAGCAAAAGGTGGGTGTGGCTGGATGACCACACTTCTGGCAACATGGGGGTGCGGCCTAATATGCTAATGAGTTTCACCTGTTAGGTGTGGCCTATTATGCTAATGAGTTCCTGCTGGGCTTTTTTTGAATAATTCTAAACCATCCCTGGTTCCGTTACAAATAAAGAACAGCCCCGGAGCGAGCGCGCGCCCTCCCCCGAGCGGCCATTTTCCTCCACAGGAACGCTCCCGTTGGGTTCCAACCGCCATTCCGGGAGACCTCTCGGCCTGACCGGGAGTTCGGCAAGCGCGCGAGAAAGCGCGCACCTTTCTGTGTTCGCTGCGAGGGGAGCGCCGAGGGAGGGACCCTCCCTCCCGCCTACCCTCACACGAGCCGGGCCTCACTCCCCGGCCTCGCCTGAGATCGGTCCGCCGGCCGGCCAGCCTCGCGCGCGACGGTTGGGCGTCCCGCTCCGCCCGTCCCTCCCCCTCAGAGGCGGCGCGTGAGGCGGGCCCAGCGCAGAAGCCCCGGCGGAGGCCGGCCGGCAGGCGGGCGGGCGGGCGTCGCC